TAAATGTAGTACTCAAGGAGCAAAACACCATCTCCAAGATAAAGCAACTAGCTGACTAACAATCCGTCAACCAATTTGACTATTTGCTCAATGCACTACTGACACACTGCTACAGTTGCAAGATGGACTGCAGGAACTTGTCAAGCATCCTCTTACAGTACCTTTGAAACCCACAATCTCTATCACTCAGAAGAATGATAACAGCAGATGCATGGGATGAGTGCCATCTACAAATTGCCTTCCAAACCACCAACTATTTTGGTGGAACTAGATCACTGTTCACTGTTACTGGGTCAACAACTCTGGAACACCCTCCCTGGTGTTGTGGACTACTTGGCCTCTTTCCATGGTCTATGATTCTATAAAAGAGGTTATAGATGTCATTTCTACCCTTTAGTTTACCTGGAAGAAACATTCCATCAGTGTTGTGTGTCAAAGCATCACGAATTGATGCATTCCAAAGAGTACCCTGGATGTTCTTTTAATTCATGATCTCCAGTTTGGTAATATGTTTTAGTAGAACATTCAGAATAACAGAAAAGGCTCAAGAGCTACATTATCAAGTTCTGCTTCAGCATAGCATTGTTAATTGAAACATGGATAAATATTGCACACAAAAAAAACTGAACATACATCAATTTACTTCAGTGACTCTTGCACAGAATTAAATAATATTATCTTGATGTTAAGTCTCCAGACTCTGAAAAATATCCAAGGGCATTATGGCTATTTCCTTGGAGAAAGCCCAGATGAAATACAAGATTTTGTGGTAAACAAAACCAAGGCTAAGTTAAAACTTCAATACTTCTTCAATTGTATGGTTATCAACTTACGAACTTGCCAGTTGGGGCACGAAATGTTGCTTCGGTAAAGACAGCAAGGAAAAGAAAATTAGAATTAATAAATTGAAAATTATGATCAGTATTCAAATGCATTCTGATACATGCATAACCAGAGAATAAGGCTTCCTATCATAGGTACAAGTTTAGAAAATGGGTTAATAAGGTTCAGACGATAAATATACTGTCCAGTGTAGAAGTGAAGCAGACATTGAGTCTATGCTGAGTTAGCAGATAACAGCTGATACAAGGGTTACGTTGGAACAATAGATCATCCAAGGTCCATGCTCTTAATTACTTTTTAATAGATGGTTTAAAACCGCTTTTGATGTTGGGCTATGAGAGGATTAGATCCAACATTAATGCCTCCATGGTCAAATTTGCTGTTGATGCTTCACTTTGCAGCTTTAGATTAAATACCAAAGAGCTGTTAGTGCTTGTGGAATTGCATCCTAGCAAGAGCGAAAGCCTTCAGTAGAGAACAATATTATTGGAAAACAAAGAGACAATTTTCAACTACAATAGAAAAGTGAGGGGAAAGAATTCAATCAAGATAAATAAAATTGTAAGTGCCTCGACTAGCTTTGGCAAAAAAAAAAAATGTGCTTACATAGCAGAGCAAACTGAATAGCTTTTTATCATCCTTCATCTTATGAAGAAATAATACCCATTTAGAAGTAAATACTATCTGCATTGGAATTGCTTCCAAAATGGAAATCACAGTATACTAAACAGTCCATGGTATAAATAATTCTGAGTCTTGGATTATCCAAAACAAAAAGTACTGTGTTTTTGCTGCCTTATTTTCACAGAGGTCATTAACTGGTTCCCAGTAATACACATGCCAACATACCAAACTACAATATTATTAAGCAACATCAATAAATATTTTTAAGATTTAGTAATTTACTTTAGTAATAGCCTAGAAATAAGTTATTGTTGACCTATGCTATTACACCATCAGCAACTCAGATGGGAAAATATCAGCACTGAGCTCAGCGATCATATGTTTCTAGATATGAAATAGTGGAAAGGCACAAATGGAATGTGGATATACTTATTCTTTACATTACAAAAAATATGGATTTAAATTGAATATTTCTGAGAGTGTCACCATGTGCACCGTGTGTACATTAATCATGTTCATATGCAACTGATGCAAAAGGAGGAAGTGCACAAAAAGAACAAGAGGCTTGTTTTAAGGATAGGGAATTAAAATATTCTATTTTGGCCATAAATTTAGACAATAGGGACTACACTGTAGAACTTTTAAGCACTGATCTTTTTACAGCAGGGTCAGAAAGACTCAATGAAAGTTATCATGATAGACACAGTGTGCACTAATACAATTGTCAAGGAGACATTTGCAGCAATACAGTAATGTAGCAAGCAAGTTTTCTACGTAAGGAATATATTCAAGAACATAACTAAGAATGACACATGATAATTTCTTAAAGAGGGCAAAGCATTTCTGCCAAGCAATTGTCTAACCTGTCTTGCCTTAAAATTTTAAGATTTAAATGTGAAAGTGTATCTATTGTCATCTGATCCTAGGCTCTTGCAACATTGTTAAATAGCACTAACATTTTGTGCTTAATGAGTGCTAGAAGCTTGGTTGGTGCTGCCCTCTGGGATCAGGGTTGCATGTCTAAAAATATGTAATCAAATCTATCAATCCTTCTGTGATTTTTTTTATGGGAAGAACAATTATTGGCTGTAGAGGTTCATGATAAACCAGCCAGGATTCTTCTAGTCCTTCAACTATGGGCACTCAGATTAAAGGTGTCCAAAATATTGAGACAGTGGTGCCTCATGGATGTTGACTCCACACTGGACCCTCTCATGCTTGTTGCCGCACACATTATTGGATGTTTGTCTCTTATATCGAAGGCAGATATTTGACTGAGTTTAAATTCTGTTCCCTTCATAAAAAAATGTTAAAGACAACATATTAAGTGGTTTATTTCCAACTTGAACAGTATTCACACAAATAGGTTAGCTGAGCTGGGCTTTTATTAGAATGCTCTTTGGCCTCCCATACCAATACTCATGAAAAGTTGGTTAATACATGGTTTTATAAAGAACAGGAGAATCATATCATATAAAAGGCACAATGCAGTCATTCAACGGCCAAGATGGAGTCATTTCAAGCAGCAGAATAATTCTGGTGAAGTCAGCCAGATTTCAACTGCAGTTTGGAAAGTGTTGGCTTCACATTCACATTCCAGTCAAAAGAATGCTTCCTTATTATTTAAAAATAGCTTCCTTTGCAATGCTAACAAACTGATTTCTGGAGTGAGACTGACTCACACAACAAAAAAGATTAACAAGGCCAAAATGACTTCTTCAAAAACATTTGAATTATACTGGGTTTTATGAACAAAAATCATGTGACAAATCATGAGCTTTTCTCAAAATCTTGTGCTTACTGTACTTTAGGCTCAAAAAAAAAATCTCATTCTTAAATCTACACCAGAGCTTAGTTAGTAACCATACAGAGTGTTGTTTCGCAACAAGCATCAGTTACAATAATTAGTGCCAAAATGATTGCGCCAGAGAGGGAAAAACAGGCCACAGTTTACAACACTGAAAGCTGCCTAGCAATCCTTTCTGGAACTTGTGCATGTCAAGTGTGACCTGGATCTTTTTCATAATGATCCCTCCCATGATTGCCACCATTCCCTGTTCACGCCCATGTATGAAATATGACTATTTGCCTGTGGTATCCAAGGTCACTGATGTCCTTGGATAATTATGGTGGGTGGGGCTTGTGGGTGGAGAAAGAACTTTTTTGGTTCAGACATTAAATTCAAACATTTCATTAACACATTTCTGGCTATAAAATATATCATGATATTCTGAAAGAAGTGAGCCCTAAATGCAAAGTTTAATGAGGCACTTGCTGATTTTATATTCAGAAATAAACTGTGCATTTTTTTTTCCCAATTTCAAACGCTCACAATTGATTTCCCTTTTAAATATTCGTGGCGTTCAGGCAAATTAACAAGAAATTAACATTTCATCAAAAGTGGCTGTTCAACAGATACTCAAGAGAAAGGGAAACCCGAGTCAATTTTACGACCAAAAAACAAGTCACTCTTCGGTATAATATTTGTCTGCGGTACTAATGCTCATTGGTGGAGAAACCTTGCTTATGCAAACTGGAAACCCGGTGCTACCCGACACGCTGAATATCTCTAGCCTTGTCTGCTTTTATTTCAATGTCCAGCACCCACGGTATTTTGCTATTTATGCCATGAAAAGAGCATCGATTTAAGAACGTGCTGACACTTGAATCAAATGCTTTAATCACTCACGCATCAGTTAAAGCGGGTTTAAACTATTAAAATTCTATAAATAGCGCCGTTTTGAAAATAGTGCCCTGCTCATAATATCTGCTACCCAATTTCCACATTCAGTTTGTGGGGAAAGAGCACTCTCACAGGCACCAGGTTATTTATTTTCCGATGTAAAAGCCCACTTCCCTGGGGACAGTGTGTTACGGTTAAAATATTGCAATTTAAGCCTCGCCTGTATTACCTTTCGGGTGCCTGTCGAAAGTGAAGGTGTTAAGTTTGTCCACTGACTGCGAGCAGAGTACAACGCCCTGCCGTATTTTAAGAGAGCGTCAGTGACAGCAGATATGAAGCATGAATCCTACCAGTGCCTTGTGCGGTGGTGGGGGTGTACAGCATATTGAAAAGTCAATGGAAAAAAAAGCAGCGGTACACCACGGCTGCCTGCGCCTGATCTTGCAACCATTTCGAGTTGGAAACGTATTTTTTTTTAAATTATTATTTGCCCTTTCTAACTTGCAGCGCCGGGGTTGTTAATAATTGGTGGGTGGCGCGGAATGTCTCAGCAGCATCATAACTGTGCACAACATACTCCCATTCATGCCTGGAGTCTGTCTCTGTACCAGACACTGAGTAATTGAGTCCAAATGGACACGGACCCCCATTAATTTGCAGCGCAGCCTTTCAGCACTAATGCAGGGGGACAGCAGCCTGTTCACCTGGAAACTACAGGGATCCTACTGTAAATAACAAACAGTGTATCCAGTGCTGCAGGTCTCTTGTTATCTGGACTTGTGCTCCAATGCTTGCCAGGCTCTGTCGCGCCCTCTCAGTCTCTCTTGTTTCCCCCGCGGGTGGTACTTACATTTTTATTTTTCCCTGCTTCCTTCTGCCTCACGCTCGAGTTTCTGGATATTCAACAGGGTTCTCGCGGCTGCTCCGTCCCTCGGCTCCTAACAAAGATGGCTTTTCAGCAGCCTCCTGACGTCAGTGATCCGGGTAGTTTGGCTCCTGGAGGCAGACCCAAAAATAAACCACTGAGGCAAAATCCAATAGTCACTCAAAGGCAACCAGAGACTGACAGACAAGAGAAAAGAGACTCAGCAAGTGGGGGTGGGGTATGAGATAAAGAAACCCCGGGGGTCAAGCGAATAGAGAGAGAGAGAGAGAGAGAGAGTGAGATTTACTGGTGCCACCAATATACATGACATGGTAAACAGTGCAGGGGAAAAAAAAGCATTACAGCAGAAATTAATAGATCAATTGAATTGGTGAAAGTGAGACAAATTCATTTCAATTAAGACAGGCAAACCTGAAAAGGCTAGATCACAGCCCTAGCAAAATAATGAAAACGTACAAACTGGTAGATGCCCAGAAGGATTTAGCAGTCCAAAGAGGTGACAGAGACAAGATGCATAAAATCACCAAATGTTATGGAGGGCAACAGAAAATAAACAAGAAGTCTGATAGAATACTGTTGTTTATATCCAGAGAATTAGAATCCCAGCAGATTAGAAATCATACTTCACCTCCAAAACTCTCTGGTTAGGCCACAGCTCAAGTGCTGCAAGGAGTTCTGGGTACTCCCCCTTTAGAATGGTTCTACTGGCCTTGCAGGGAAATGTGCTACAATATCACCTGGACTTCAAAGGCTGAATTACAAGGAGAGCTTATACCAATTAGGGTTATTGCCTGGAATTTAGAATGTTCATGGTGATTTGATTGAGCTTTTCCAGATATTAGGGAGAACTGATTGGAAATATTGACAGAAACTATCTTTGCTTGCTGAACAATCTATAACTAAGGGACATAGAGTTAATAATAGAGTCAGATCTTGCAGGATTGAAGTTAGGTATCACCTCAACATACAAACGATATTAGGAGTTTGGAATTAGTTTCCATAAACAGCAGTTGATGCTGGTCAATTGTTCAATTTATAGTATTTTTTGTTAATCAGAGCTTTTAAGGGATGGGAGGATATAAGTAGTTGGTAGACCAACTGTCATGATCTTATCAAATTGCAGATTTGCTCAATTAGCTATATGACCTATTTCCAATCCTATATTCAAAATGAAGAGATTGGGGAAAGAGATAATCTCTTAATATGCAAATAATTAGAATGCCTTTTAAGGCCATACACACAGAGGTACATAAACAAGTAGACTAGGAATACTAGGGAAGCATGGATAGAAAGTGTCAACAGTGGCTTGTCACTAAGAGAGACACAGATGATGAAACAACCAGGCTAAATCAGACTACCATTGGAATGTAACCATCCAACCGTGTCGTCACAACTAAAGTGACAGATGGCAATCGGAAGTGTCATATAGACAAAAGTAACCAAAAATTGAATACAAGTTTACCATTCTGTGTCCCCCATTTGAGTGAAAATAGAACATAGAACATATAGAACATAGAACATTACAGCGCAGTACAGGCCCTTCGGCCCTCGA